AATGTTGAGATTTGGGTACTTGGGGGGAGACCTGAGGGGAGTTCTTGGGCGCTTCAGCTCAGCTCTCAGGGCCAGCGGCAGCCGGATGGGAGGTGCCTTTTAGCGCTCCGTCACCTTGTGGCCTTTTGGGAGGGGTCCCCTTTGGCTGGGATTGTGAGTGAGAGAGAGTGGGAGTGGGAGTGAGAGTGAGTGACCGGGGAGGGGGGTGTGAGGTGAAGTGAGGTGTGAGGTGTGAGAGTTGAGACTGAGAGCGAGAGAGCCAGAAGAGTGAGGTGAGAGGGGTGTGTGAAAACAGGAGTGAGGCCTGTGTGAGAGTGAGAGTGAGAGTGAGAATGAGTGGGTGGATGAGTGGTGGAGAGAAGGTGGGAGAGTGGGAGGTTCCCTGGGTCGGGAAAGCCGAGAGCGACAAGTGCTAAAATTGCTCGGGAGCCTGCGAGGTAAATGTACCTTTTTTCTCTCCCCTCCGGCAAGTCGTGGGTTCAGAAAGTGAGAGCGAGCCAAGCCACGCCTGAAGAGGGATCCAGCACCACGGTGACGATGAATGATGGTGATGTTTCCTCCCTTCTTCGCGTCTTGAACAACGCCTCTATTTTTCTGTCTCCCACTTAGACTTTTGGCTAGACACCGAGTAACTCTGTCACTAGACACCGACTCTGTACAAAGACAGATCGTTTATCGAGCCTGTCGAGCTGCTACGCAGTAAACACGAACAACAAGACACAAGGAACTTGTTCACCACACTTCGGGTCCTCGCACCCGATCTGCGACCTGGATGGAAACGACGGGGAACAATGACAATGGCCCGGTGAGAGAGGCTGATAAACGAACCAGAGGGTCTCGGGTTTCTATTTTGCTCGTGTCCGCCGTCCGCCGTCCGTCGTCGCGCTTAAAGCCAGACCCTCTGTGGAGCACAGATGATGATGGAAGAGTCGGCAATCCCAGTCGTGCCAGTTCCGTACTTAGAAAAGCTAGGGGAATTTGGGAAAACCCAAGGGAACGATACGACAGGGCGCCCAACGATCGTCTGTGCCCTTTTTTTTTTTCTTGTCTTGGTATCGCTAAAAGAATTGATATCCGTGGGATCACCGCAGTTCGGGTCCGGGTAGCGTGCTGAAGCGCGAGATGAAGAGAGAGGGATGATGCTAGACGAGGCACGTTTCGTCGATAGTGGGAGCTGAGGGCTGAAGGAGGGCTGAGGCCGGAGGGAGATCAAGAGTCGCAGGGGCGATGCCGTTTCGCCAAGATGCAGAGTCGCGAGAGAACAACAAACAACAACGAGGCGAGGGAGAAGTGAATCCTAACGCGCAGATGTTGTTGTCGGTGTTGGTGTTTGTTGTTTTGTTTCTTGTGGGTGTGAGATCACGGCCGAGATAAGGCAGACCGACGCTGCAGGTCTGAGATGAAAACCTGAGATAGAGTATAGTATGCCCACTCACACACACACACACACACACACACACACACACTCACTCACTCACTCTCACACCCACCACACTCTTGAGAGAATTAACCTCAATTGATCCCGTTCGTGAGGGGTGCGGTTCGCCGAGGTGGAGGAGGCGATGGTTGTGATGGTGGTGGTGCCCAAGGAAGAACTATGTACTAGGTAAGCGTCGAACTCGGACGACGAACCCAAGAACGTGGGATTTGTACGGATGTGCGGGAATACACCACAGAGTCGAATACGGATACTCCAAGATGGGACTAGCACTCTTGTCCAAAGAAGTTGAGGACAGGACTGGACTGGGGTTTGAATGCGATGCGATGCGATGCAAAGGGCCGGCCGAAGCAATAAGCAACAAGCAGCTGCAGGATTTACCAACTTTACGAACTAAATACTGCCAGATCAAAATCAAATGCCCAACATGGTGGTACCGCATGGTGATGACTGAATGGTAAGTCGCCCATGCGGGATGAACTTCCACACAGCGTATATGTCTACCGCAATATAGCTTCGGTGACTGAAAGAGAGCAAACAAGCACAACCGCTGATATCATGACCAACTCTTCTTGTTGGAGATACACATATCCATCCGGATACCGCAGTGACACAACCCATTGACAAGAAAGAGGGACGAGACAGAAAGCCCAAGCAAGCACGTACCGCACCCGCAAGCACAAAAGAGGCCAGGACCAGGGGCCAGGACGACACTTGGACAGACTGGGACAGGGACAGGCCAAGGACGAGTGTGACAAGGCGACACTCGACAGGGTGACAAAATGGTGACAAGGGCCCCGGTCCAACGTTGCATGCGCCCGGGGCAGCTCTTTTGCTGCTTAGTGTCTCTCCCTCTCCCCCATATCTCTCTCACTCTCTGTCTGTGTCTCTTTCTCCCATGTTTCCCACTCTGTCTTCTGGATGTGTGCTCGCGCCGCTCTCCTCTATTGGCTCGCTGCCGCCGTAGCCTTCTCCCCTCTTGAGGAGAGAGAGAGGGCCTTTCGTCGCTCTTGTCATCGCCGGGTCCTACTTTTTCGTAGGTAGATCCACAAAGTTCAACGAGAACCCGTCTGTCTCTCCTGGCCATCTTTCGTTCACCCTGTGTCTATCTTGGATATTCTATGGATATCCTTACTATGGAGTCCTTCTCTCAGCTTGCCTTTCCCACGGCGCCACAGCCCACTTTCTTACCCTTCCCTCGCGGGCCTCCAGTGTCCACAATGGTTGTCAGTCTGCGGCGCTGCGGTCGTCGTGCTGTCGTTACTCGCTGGCGTACTCTCACCACCAGCTTGACAATGGGAATGGGAATCACCAAAGCCTCTTGGATACCGTCTCCCACTCTCAGTCTCTTCCCGTCTCTCTCCACTCATCGCACATCCACATCCGTGACTACTGTTGTACTGCTATGCTGCACGTAAACCCCTCTCCTGGCCCAAGCTTCCGGACTACACTATGCCGGGAGAATATGTCACCATCATGACTGCCGTCTTGTTCGGCTCTACTGCGAGTTACAAGTTTAAACGCTCAAGCTATGGAGTCCCTATCCGACACAATAGTAGTGTCTGCCGCTCTAGTGCCCGCCAATATTGGTTCCCTCAAGCGCCGTCTTTAGTATGCGTACACTACAGTACCGCGTAGAAACTAGAGAGCCAGACATCAAGGCAGCGAACAATTACGCTCCTCTCTGTACAATCGCACCCCCAAATCTCGATCGATCTTCCTAATCCACCGAGGAAATCCCACCAACGCGCTTCTCATCCCAGCCCGTCGCGTCAGGATTCAGCCCGGAACAGGTTCACGGTTCACATCGACCCCCGAGGTCGCGGAGCATTCGCCCGGCCAATCATTCCCATGGACGTTGATGTAATAAAAGTTGCCCCTTCCAGAAAATCCAAGGAACCAAACTCGAGTCTCCAGAGTGGGATAACCAACGCCATAGCCCGCCAGGAGTCGGGGGCAGTTCCAGGACACACATTCCCAGTTCTCCGGGGCACATTGACGGCCCAGTCTTGCCAATGGACACTGATGCTCTGCCGCCTTCGCGCTGTCTACTAGCAATGGCAATGTCCTCCGTCCTGTCGTGCGGCGTGCCTGGTGTCACCGAGTTTTTCCAGGTTTCCCATTATTGATCTTCAACGCACGTACGGAGATGGCCCTGTCCTGTACTCTGTATGTATGTAATGATCTCCAGGGCCTTTTCTTCTGCCCTCTTCTATTTCCTTATTTTCCTCTTCGTCACTAATGATCCCCCTCGCTTCGGCTGCCGTCCGTCCCCTTGTCCAGTGACTCTCTGCCACTCTGGTACCCCTGGTCTGTCCTACAACAACCCCCTACATGCAGTAATCAACCCCGTAGTCTTTGCTCATTCCTCCTGTTTTTCCCTGTTTTTTTTAGGGCTGAATCCTTCCCACGAGATTGGATCGGTGTGGTCACCGCTGGAGCTTCAGTGGTCTCTGAGCTCTGTTACCTTGCTTTCTCAAGTGATCTTCGCCCTATTACCCCTACGAGATCCTTCCGTGCCGTTATGCAAACCCCCCTTTTTGCCGTCTCCAGGTTCTCGATATTGCTTGGTCAGAGAACCAAAGCCTCCATCACACTGCCGAAAGGGCTTGCGGTGAAGGGCAGCAACTTCCAGCAGCCAGCAAAAGCTCAGGACAACATCCAGCGCTGGCCAAACAGGGCAAGTCAGGGGCGAGTTGCGACGGCGGTGATGTAAGATGCGGCAATCGCCCGTCCGCCGGGGAGCTTGAGTGATGTCGCCCCGTCCATTCGCCAATAATGTGACAGATGACAGCACTGCGTTCAAAGCACCATTTTCCCTCAGATCATCTCGAGCAGAAGGCCCCCTCGACCGTGATGAACATGGACATGACCTTATGTTCCCCCCGCACTCTCGGTATGCCCTTTCCGGACGCTATGGGGAAGAACGAAATTAGGGAACGTTAGCCAAGGAGTGCTGTTCTCGTTTGATCCGGCATCCGAATCCTGAATGACATATGATGCTTGGAGAACCGACGCAACAACGCGAAGAATCTCATATCTGCTTTCCAGTGCCACGTCCGATGTTTGCGTTGCGATGTGCGGAGAGGCAAGTGACACGATCCCTGCTCGGGGGCCCAGATAATGTGGCCGTAATGCAGCGCCAATGCAAGTCAAGAAGTCGTTATCACGAAACTCGGAACCGTAATCACAAGTCTCGGCTTCTAATTCCCGTTCTCTGGTTGCCAAGGCCCAAAACGGCATGTTTGCTTCCATGTAGGCCTTGCTCCGCGATAGGAGAGGCCCAACCTATGTACGAATATGCGGCTATTGGATTTAGTATCTCACCATAGGCAGGCACTGTCTACAAACAACACCAAGTCGATTGAGCATCATGATATCTAAGACGCACTCTCAAGCCATCGTAAAGCCATTGGCCCATCTTGACATGCAACTATCTCGCCTTACTTGCAGGGAAACTCCACAGCTCAAGCCTGGCATGGCCGCATAGGACCTCAAAACAGCACCCGACTCCGGATCCGCCTCAACCACCACCGCCGCCGCCGTTTCCATTCATGATTCCATGCCTTCGACGTTCCTTCTCCAGGCCCACAATCCCATGCTGGTGAGAAAAACGTGCAAGCTCGTGTGGGGGGGGGGGGGGGGTTGCGGTCCTCCGGTGAGAGTCGATCATGTAAGACAAGGCGCGCCATGCCCCGGGCCAACCAACAGGAAGCAGACCTTGAGGCTCAATAACGGCCGCTATGGATACAGCGGCGAACTTGCACAATATTCAAGCAACCAAAACCGAAGGTGGTGTTGCGCCTCCGAAGCGGACTCTGTCGACTCCACCCCGCCCATACCCGCCAAGGCACCACGATCCGGCCGCGCTCCGAGTATTCGTCTTCCAAGCCTCTTGGCCTCCGAACAATTTCAGTCGCTCTTGGACCGGCTCACATTTATACTGCAAGTGCTCAGGACTCAGACAGGGCGGCTCGGCTGGCCAAGTGGCGCGTTCCCTACGGACCTTGAGAAGAGACGTAGGACCTTGATTCTTGTGACCGACGTAGGAGAAATACAGTGCGGTACAAATACGCCGGTACGTATGCGTTTTGTCTATATTCACTACTCTACAGCTCCTCCAGTCCCGACGGCATTGACGGGACTGCGAGAAAATGGAATTGCGAAACGGTCATTGATTGGACTCCCCCGTGCGACGACTAACGAACCGCACACGCGATTTGATTAGACATGAGGTCAAGACAAGGGGAGAAACTTGGCTTTTCTGCTTCGCTTCTTAGTCATGATACGTCTCCCATATTAACCAGGCTCATCTTATTCGACCAACAAATCTCCCGTCTACCACGGCCTCGAGCCATATGAGGTCACATACGATGAGTTGTTCAGAGTCATTGCAGCCTCAACGGGTTTGCTGGTTCAATGACACCCGAACGTCACACCCGCATCAGGAGCAATCGTCGTGGCCGCTTTTTGACCATTTCACTTTGCAAACCACAAAGCAGCGCGCCCATCCCGAATCATCCATCAGTGGAGTGTATCTGATCACCAGTTCAAGCAGGCTGAAGCACGAACACACCCACCCGTGACATTCCTCTCAGCCAACAGCCAACAGCATGTTGCAGCGTGGTAGCACACATAGCAAGCCAAGTCTCACAGGATAGCGCCCGAACGTAGTACTGCGTGCGGCCAACAGACGCCCCGGGTCCCGGCTGCGACCAGGTCAGACGGCTATGAGACCCCGGCTTGCCCGGAGATGGCGTGGAGGGGCCGAACTATGATTTCCATTCCTGAAAGCTGAGGGGGATGTAGGTAATCCAGAGGATACCGGTATGGGCGCACTTCTGCTGCAAGCACGGCCACAATTGCCAGCTCCAGAATCTGGGGAAGATGAATAGCGCGCGGCTGGTTGCTTTTGCGTCGGCGATCCATGCGGGCCCGGCGAACCTACACCAAGCCATTGAACGAGCCACCATTCGATGCGGTGTGGAATATTGAATATTGGATGTAGGGGCTGGGCTGCAGAGTCCTATCCGTGTGCATTATCAGACAAGTAACCCTTCAGAACCCAACCTTTGACGGATTACCTGAAGCAGGAGAAGAGACTCCATCGTCGAGGGCACTCTGTCCCAAAGCAGAAGATACAATTATCGCAGAGGGGTCATGCGGAAACAAGACATGACTCTGACTCTCTATCGTGGCCTCTGTCGCCGACGCATGCGGAACCTCTCCCCCTCGTTCTGGGGAAAGCCACGATAACCTCCTCCTCCCCCGGACCCCCGGCAGCATTCCAACCCGCTCCCCAAGTACGAGGAATGAAGGCTAAACTATCTGGTTCAACCCCGACCCCTCCATTGCCTAGAGGACGTGTCTTACTGGTCCGGGGAGGGACAGAATCTCTGCCCATGCAGATAGCTTGGCTTGTGTAGGATGGTTCAAGGCAAGGCAAAGGTAAGGCAAGGCAAGATGCGATAGGATGCCACGCTATGCCAATGTTGTGCACATTGGGTTCGTCGCTAATCAAGCGACCACTCTCGTTCGTTCTCGTTGATGCTAAGCAACGCTCGACGATACCAAGAGTCCAAGACAGCCACTGTTCCCCCTCGTCTTCCCCCCTTCATGTCCGCTTTCTAGCTGCCCGACTCGGAGAAGCGTAGTGGTCTAACGACAACCGACAGTGGTTCAAAGAGAAGCGCGGTTTTATTTCATCGCAATCTCCCATGCTGTCTACTAAATTATATGCCTTGCCTGAAGCCGCTACTCCGTACATGAAGCTTATTGTCACCGTACCTCCTCTTAGTCCCGATGTCATTGATTTGAGAGATAAAGACGCCGAGAATTTCATCTCGGGTGCAAAGCATACCGAGAGCAGTTACCAGGCGAAGACGATTTGGGAGTCTTGGTGTACGCAAACCTGTTCAACAATGCCGCCGCCACTATGCACTTTGAATCTACGCAGTCACCGCCTCGGTGTAAGCCCGCCCGCATCCAATAGTCAGACCTCTATCCCCCCTCGCCGACGTTGCATTCCTCCCACTCCCACGCTTGTCCTCCTGGGAGATGCTGCCACGAGGGCCGCGGGCTGAAGAGGCTGCCGCATGTCTCAGCGTGGGACAGAAATCCTGAAAAAAATATCGTTGCTCTGCCCTAATGGTGTAGTTGCAACATCCTTACACAGTTGTCAGACAGACGAAGAAAGGAATCCCAATCACCGAATAGAGGCGGTCCAATGGCTCAAGCTTGTCCGCTCGTCACCATCCTCGTCGACAGAGTTCCTTTAATGATACTCTGTCGAGAGCTACGCCAAGAAAGCATGGGCCCGAACGACATGGGCGGCGCATCGCAAGGATCTTCACGGGGAGGGGAAGGTTGTCGTTTTAGAGGGAAACATCGCCAGGAGAAGGCTCCCATGGCAAGCATATACAATGGTTGACAAGAGCTCTGCCTCGACTATCGTTCGTTCATTCGAACTTTTGAAAGTGCCAAGACCAGCCCATTGAGAGGATGCAGCCTTGGAGTTGAAGTCTAAGTCGACAGATACTCGTCGTCCCGTCCTCCCGGGTGTTAGGTCTTCAATCTTGGCCAGACTCGCACAGGGCCGAGCGGTGCAGAACCAGCACAAGCAAACAAATACCGCGGGGAGACTTTTAAATGTGCCGCCCCCAATGCGACGTCGATTAGCAGCAGCCCTCATCCTGGGTGAGCTGAGCTAAGTTTTGGCCTAAGCAGCGGGATTTTCCATCGCCGGCGCAGAGACAACTCAGCTATGCAAGTCAAGCTGAGACTCTGTAGGAGAAGAAGCTCTAGATCCAGGGCTTTGGGTGTTGGAAGGATCCAACGTAGAGACAATTAACCTCATCATTGCATTCACATGATGCAAGGCGAGCGCCATGCCGCAAATCAGATCATCTCAAGAGCTCCGGAGGCGCGACCTTGGCGGACCCCGGGGCTTCTCACTCTGTCTCCTACAGTACAGGCCGTCACATCACCCGTCATCGACCTCAAAAGCGGTGGGAAAAGCAGCACCGGTTGATTGACAGGACGGCGGTCAAAGTCCACTCCGTTGATGGCACGTATCGCGCCGTGCCCTCCCGGTCCTTGCCTGCTCCTCGTCCACCTCACAATGCGACACTGTTGACAGCAGGCTGATCTCACACAAGAGCTGACAGCCAGGCGACGACGGGAGGTGCGTTCATCCTGTTCTCCATCCTCGCTGCCGTTAACCTGGCCCGTGTCATCGTTGACAGAAAAGCAGAAGGTAGCAGGCGGGACGTCATGACAGCGTCAAGGGGGTTACAATGGCACCTCACTATCGTCGGTGTTTGGCAGAGTGGTTCCAGCTTCGCTGGCCCTGGCGGTGCGCGTGGGTGCCGCAGAACAAGATTCGCAACGTGGACCTTGATGAATGATGCGGTGCCGACTGTCGTCAAATTCCCACCAGGCTATAGATGCCTCGTGATATAGGAACAGGGCAAGGGCAGAGTATCGTCACAACGGCGCGAATCTCGAGAAGCACCGACCAGCCTAGTTGCAGTGAATTGTGAACGTTCCCTTCGGCGCCAACCGACAGGGGCTCGTCCGTCGCATCTTTGTTTGCTAATACCAAGTTATTTGTACGGATATCTCCAAAGCCTGCAGGGATATCGCTCCCCCGCACTCGGCTTGCCACTGTTCGTCACGGATACAGTGTAGCCATCGTGAGCTTAGTCCGAGATAGAGATTATTAGGCATCGTACCACACCCTTCTGATGACACCAACCCCCAGTACTCCAGGACCTCACCTCTCACTCCCTCTTTGCTATATGCCAGACCGAGTATCTTTCCTGATCCCGGCCTCGCACAACTTGCTAGCCCTCCGCACCAGTGATCCAGACATCGACTTTGACAGCAAGCTACCTGCCACAACTCTGTTCCTCCGCTGCTCCCCTGATCCTTTCCATTACACGGACGGAGAGGGGAGGCTGGTAGATTGTCGGCAGCAGCCCCTCCCCGCACAAACCGGCGCCGGTACACGGTTGCGGAATCTTTGACTCTACGGATGCTCACGAATCTGCAGATCTTGCTTCATGCCGCTTGCCCTCTGTGCCTCTCCTCTCACATGACAGATGATGGCGTAAGCAATAGCCTCTGTGCCACATTCTTGCGCCAGCCTCACCTGTGTCTTGGGCGGGAAACTGACAAACGCTCGGAGGGCAACATGGTTGATGCAAAGTCGAGCACGGAACACTCATGTTTGACGCATTGCTGACTGGCGCCGTTGAGACCCCTGCGAAACATCGTTGGGCCGTGCAGTACCAGCGTCAGGATTAACACAGCTTTCCTAGAATCCGTAGCTTCGATGCACCTGGTTCCTCCGGACTGTGTAACTTGATTATACAGATATGCCTCTCGCGAGTCGCAGGGTCCCTCAAAGGTCTATAGAGGTCCAGCCCTTCCAACTTCCAAGTTCCAGCCCGGAGCTTGCCTTTATTCTCCGACTAGGAGGATGAGCTTCAAGGGACTCAAACGCACGCCGCTTATACTCCTTGCTGCCCATGCGCGAGGCATATCTTTAGTGTAATTGTTAACCCCTCCAACGACATGCTGTCGGCTGTGGCTGAAATGGGGAACGTGGCGGGCGCAACTCCCCCATCCTCTGCTTCGTACCATATCCGGCAACGCGGTTTCGGGGCATCGTGGAACACGCCCGCTTCTTTCCTCGCTTTGGACGGTACATCCGGATACGGCAGCTATATCCAACTTTCGTCCATACTCTCCGGCGGGCAGAGGGCCCACGCCGCGGGGCAACGTAGCTCATGTGGGAGCCAACGGCCGACAGGGTAGGCTTACATGCAGCAAGCCCAGCAAGGAAGAAAAAGGTTAGAAGCATAAGGCCAATATGGTCCGATGTTGCGAGATGTAGATGAGATCCCTCTCGAGTCACGATGTGTGAGAGAATGACAGGAAGTCGCCGCGGCGTAGTCATGGCCATGCAGCAAGAATCTTGCTTTCGGGACCTTTCAAGACAAGCCTCCAGCCTCCACGCGGTCTCGATCCTCGGCGGCCCTATCTGATTGCAGGTAGCTTAATGGCGAGGTACCATCGACCCCCTGGTGGACAGGTTTGCTATGGGTTCGGTGAGGTGGCAAGTGCTGGTGCTGGTGCGAAGGCTAGTGGTCAGGGTGAGGTTACATTCTGTCGAAATACTCCAAGACTGTGAATAGCTTCGCTTTTGCGACCCCCACCAGAAGGATGGGGTCTGCACCAAAGTTCCTTGTACACTCGCCAAGAAAGGCACAGAATCTTGGGTCTGGCGAGTTTCTCACAGCGTTTGCACCCAACTTGGGAAATTCCAATGGCTTGCATGTCTAGTTCTGGCTCACGCCGTCCCGAAACATCACCCTTCGCCGTGTTGAGCTAGGCCGGTTCTTTCCTCTGTCGTCCGGATCATTGAAAACCTGATTTCCATGGCTCTCTAGAAAAGTCGGCAGATATGCATAGAAGCTCTGACCCAAGGCAGAATTCCCACTTTCGAGGGGTTTCTATACTATACTAGCTCGAAATGCAGCGTCTAAGCAACGCCCCCGGCTCCGGGTATGAGAGCGATATAGGCGCTAGAAGAAGACCCAAGCAGAGCCTCCTGTCGCTTTTGCGTCTGCCAGACCAGGCAAGTTGCTGTCAGAACGCCGATCAGCCATCTGGATTCCGATCTTGTCGAGCCTGTCGTGCCCACTTCGGCCGTCCCTGATGGAAGTTTTCGCGAAACTAGCCCCCGGGGGGTCCCGCCTGCGCTGGTGCTGTCTTGTCTATCGCATGGAACCCCGTTTTCCCACTCTCGGCCGTGAACCGAAAGCTCTCTCTCCCCTGTACGGAGTAGAAGAGAGGCAATTGCGAGCTTGTGAGAGAGTCTTTGGCATTCTATCCGAGATCCTCAGATGTCTCCAAAACGGTTTCCCATCCGAAGAACCGAACGCGTTAATGCAGGTTCTTGGAACGGGGAAGAACCGGGAAGTGCGAAGAAATGGTTCGATGAATGCAGCTGACAGGCTAACTCAACGTGATTATCAACTCTCATCAAAGAGTCGTATCATGGCGGCCCATATCGGCCGGGCACCCAGTCTCTCGGCGGGCGTCGAACACATGTCGCGAGCTCCGGAGACTTGGGGCAGGATATGAATTGCACCGGCCGGGACCCCTCCCCATCCCACTTTGTCCGGTGGATCATCTTCAATCAATGATGTTCGGACCCTCACGATGTTTTCAATATCCCAAGCTTTTTTCTATCGCTTTCGGAGGAAATGCTCCCCGAACCCCTGGCCAATTACTTTCAGCATTGAGTTTGATAGACAACGATTATGATCCGCGCTATCCGGTGATAATGTGAACTCCGCGTACTGTTGTACGGATACTGAACTACAACATTCCGTCCGCTTCCGTTGCCGTGTCGAAACGAGGCAGTGACGGATCAGCTATGCAAACGAACGAGAAACACCGTCCCGTAACGTGTTGACAAGCTCACGCCAAGATCCTGACAGGCTGGCAACGACGAAGTCTTCTCTGCAATCTTGTCGCTGACCGGAAGCTACCTGTACCCCGCATCGTTGCAACATCACCACCATCAAGCTCTCTTACTCGACCGAGAGATGAGGCGGCGTAAGCTCCGAGACTACGGCCTCCAACCAATTGACAATGAATACCGAAGTTGCCTATGCGAATTCGCCGAAGACGCACCGGGCTACATTCGCGGTACCTGAAAGGTTCTTTCGTTACAGATACTACACAACACTACATGTAGACTACACTTCACTAAGTACGGATGATATCCAGAGCTTACGCGCACGTCAATCGAACCTCTGGGCGTTGACAGGACGATGGACCGACTTTAGAGTTTCCCGCCGTGCCTTTCGCTCACTTCGCCAACGCGAAAAAGTGTTCCTTCGCTTCCGCCGGATAGAGTGTGATGATGGATACCCGGGGTCCCCTCCGCGGCACTCCCTAGCAAGCTTCTCGCAAGCTCTTAGGCCACAGCACTTCAGCCCATGAGGCGTCTCGCAGTTTCACGACGGGGATCATCGACGTCCAACGCATGCCGGCAGAGCAGATCTCCCAGATACACGAGACGAAATCATTGGCTATCCCGCCGTCCATCTCCCGGGCTACACAAATCTAGACCGGTTCTCAGCCCCCCCAGGCTATCACATCCCATGCGTCGTCCCATCACCGCTTCAAAAGGCACCCATCCCGTCGGGCCAATCTCACATGTTTCCCTCCTCTCACGTAAGGTCGGGTAGGAGAAACCCAAAAGTTCCAGACCCGTCTATCCTCTCCCGCAAAGTCAAACCCGCGCCCGTCTCACATCAGGATTAACAACTTCGCCTCCCTCGCGCCTCAGCGAGCGCACGCCAGTGTTAGAGGCCGCCCACGGCACCTCGTCTAGGCCCGTCAGCCACGCGGCCCCCGCAATGCGGTCGCCATGCCCGTCCGGCGGAAGGCTGACGGCGACTTTGTGGGCCAGCGCTTCCGGGACCCGCCGGAGGACGTTGCCGGTCACGGATAACCAGTATCGTTCGTAGTATATGTCACTGTCCAGCCAGAGATTGACAGTCATCAGCTGTGGAGTGTCGAGGAGCCGCAGGATAGCGCTCCATGATTCTACCCACTGCTCGAACGTGCTCCCTTGGTCTGCCTGGCGCCTGAAAGAGAAGTTGATGCGCCGGAGTGGGTGACTGATGGGCGTCTTCCATCGGACACCGAAGAGGTTCCGTGCTAGGTTGATGTCGGTGATGGTGAATTCGGTAGACCTGTAGATTGATGAGGAACATTCTGCATATCTATATGCTTTTATGTAAGTGACTGTAATAATGTGTGGGAGTCTTGGAAGCCCTCTCCATACTCTTAAGTGGAAAGTCCAACTTACAACGTCTTACAGGTCAGCATCATGGGCAGATACGGCGAAGAAGCGCCGACCGAGACTCCGTGACCTATTCGGCGCCGCGCAATATCTCGCCATATATCTCTTTCATCCCTCGCCTCTTGACATTTCCAGTGATCACACCACGCTGACATCTCTCGCTTGTACCAAAGCGATACTGACCCTCTGGCATCAGAATCAGAGCCCATCCAAGTGAATGCCCAGGCGTCATCTCCCTCAACGATGGTAGACTCGAGTCTTTCAAGTAAGCACCTGGAATGCCCAAAGCCGGCTTCAGTCAAGATGATGGGCAGACCAAAGCCAGACATACGCCATAGTTCTTGATATACGATCTCTCGGATCTCTTTTGGAAGCCTGCCCAGTAAACCCAGACTCGATCGGTCAACAAGGGATTGCCTGTGTAAGTTGTGATTGTGATGGTGAGATACGTCGCCCAATAGGTCTTCGACGGAAGCGCGATATATCTCGTCGGGCGCCACGAGGGTCTCTGAGGAATCGCTGCCGGTGAATACATGTAGCTTGGGAGCGGCCGCACTCGAAGACATTCTGGCTTTGATATCAGATCGAACGTAGGATATTCTCCTCTTGAGCTTTCTAGCCAGGGCGATTGGGCTTGCTATTGAGCGAGCGCCAGTATGGCCGGGCTGATGGACCTGGTCACTCATCTTGGGAGGGAGCGAATCGGAAACGGAAGGCTCAGTGAAGGGAGAAGGAAGAAGGAATCAGGTCGATGGTGGAAATTTGAAATGAGAAGACTCTAGAGATATGAGCCTGTTTGTTACAACCTTGAAAGGCTAGCAAACGGTCATGAACCAACATTCAGTCCCGCCAACCAGACATGCAGAGGAGCAAAAACAGTCTCTACCAATTTATTTATGAGAGTAAGCCAACCAATAGCTGCTTCGTCAATGCCGCATCCAGAAGCGGGAATAATGTTTGCTTAAAATGGGCTATGCAAATTTGATATGTCACAGCTATTAAAACAAGGCATTGTAATTATGATGAGTTTCAATTCAAAGACCGTATGTGGGTATTGTGGTCAGAGCTAATCGACAAAATTCCGTTGCAATCTAACGCCAGTAATCCAAGGACAGCATCAAAACGCTGCGTTCCCCCGTTCAAGTGCAAGTGTAGAGGCTGCCAACAAGGTGCAAGCTCTTCCGGCCTCGCAGAGTCGATATTTGTTGTTGATGAGGTATTTACTTCTGCTCAGGCTTGGTCTTGCCAGCACCACCGCCAAACAGGCCACCGACGAAGCCGCCAGCGCCCTTGACGCCCTCAGTGGTCTTGCCAGCAACGGTCTTGCTGCCCTCGGCCACACCGCTGCCCGCCTGGTTCAGCGCACCCGAGCCGGGGACAGCGGTGGGCACGTAGCCGCCCTCGTCATCCTTGCCTTGGCGCTCGGCGCGGTTGACACCCTCCTTGGAGACCATATCGCCAACGGGCTGGAGGAGACCGCCCTGGCCGACCTGGCCGGCAGCGAGGTTGTGCACGCCGTCTTGGAGAGTGTCGACTTGCTCGACGCCAGTGACCTTGCTCTTGTCGAGGGTATCTGAACACGAACACGTTAGCACGGATTCTTAACGGCTACTCACTAGCCCAGGTACTAGTGTGATGGGAGAGGTTCGTGAGGGCGTTGGTGGCTTACCCTTAGTCGCGTAGCTGGCCTTGTTGTCCTTGGTGAACCATCTCAGGTAGACGTCCTCGAGCCATGGAACCCACTTCTCGTACTGGGTGTTGTATGTTTGTTTTGCCCACTCTGCCATTATGAAGGATTCTGATGAAGAGTACTAAGAGATGTGGTAATATTGGCTGTTTGTATGATGATGGAAAGTACAATCAAGTATGCAATAAGATCAACGAGATGAACACCATAAACGGATGGGAAACACGACGTGGGCCATCAGCCTGATATACGTCCATCCAAAAGGCCCAGCCGAGCCCAAGCACCAGCACCACCAGCAGCTCTCTCGCACACACTTTCATCATCAGAGTCGTCACTCGCTCATCCCTTCTCTTACTTTACTACGCATGTGCGTACGTGTGGCTGAAGATGCCCAAGGGTACGTCATACGGGTCCGTGATGGAGGCGTCGAGGCGCGATGCCATAGGCTGCCGTGCTTCGAGGTGCTGTCAGGCAGCCGGGGAGGACCCCCGTCGAGGACCCCTGCGCAGCGGCATCATCAAGCGCAATGACAAAATCCTGGAAGTTGGCAGCCACATCAAAAGTTGTGTGATAGATGCGCCACGCGGGGGGGGAGTCCTCCTGGCTAGCTTTGACCACTCAGCGCAAGCGAGCTGCTCTCTCTTTGGCTTTGGGTTTCAGATTACGCCTTGGGGAGTGAGTGGTGGGAAAATGCCTCTTTGGGTGAGCTAGAGTCATCTCCTCACACTCTTCGAGCTGGTTGGTTTCGTGATGGAGCACGTGGGGAGAGAGACCAGCGGGAGGGAGATGGTGGGATGGGACGTGGTATCCAAGTGGGTGAAAAGAAATAAAGATAATGGGAAAAGACTGGCCCAGATCGAGATTGCGGGTTGCGACGTCATCCCGCCGCTATATGGGGCCATCTCCGATGAGAGTGGAGGCGGCGTGCCGGGCTGCAACGGCCTGGTGGGGCCCGGCGTCCTCCGGGCGAAAGGTCTCTAGCTGGGCTCGTGGATCTAAGCCTACGTGCGTGCCGGTAGCCACGCTCATGTAAGTCTGCTCTATAGGAATATTTGAATTGATAGTGAAATTATATGTCTACTTCTTGCTTTTACTCGTTGGAGAGAATATCCCTATTCACGTGTTTTCTTCCATAAGTACCTTATAGTAGTCAAGATGAGTACCTAGTACCTGACAAGAAGCCGGAGCCCCTGCGAGTGCGCTTTAGAACTCATCGACAATTTGACTCCCAGAAGGGATGGAACTTTGAGCTTTCAACCATGAACCCACTTTGTCCCGAGGCTCTGAATCATCGGGAAAAGAGCTAAGCTGAGGGAAGCCAGCCAAATCGCTAGCGACCTGACTCCCGGACGCTTCTTCCGTCGAATAGCCTCCTCTATTGATGTGGCTTATCTCAAGTTTCCACGGTCCATCTGGCGGTGAATGGCTGACAGGCTGAACGTCCCTTGCAGTATCATGAGGCCCTATAGATGCTCTCGTGGCATTATTTGGTCTCGCCAATACGCAAGCTGACATTTCATGATTTCCGTAGATGAGATGTTGTGTATCATAGTACTCTTCGAACCCCACAAGCCTCGGAGGATCCATCGTGCCTGTATGCAGATGTGGATGGTCTATTTTTGGATGTTCTCTCGGCAGAGATTGCTCATCTGCTTGCAATGAAGATTCAGGGGTCTTGAGATCACGCTGGTCTCTTCTTCCATGCCCGTGTATCTTGTTGATGAACAGAGCATGTCCTGGAGGCATAATCAGCACTTTATCTTCCAAGATTTCCTGAAAAGTATTGACTTCGAGTCTCTGATTTAGGAAGCTTTCGACAGCAACAGGTGAACGGGACGGTAAATCGGAGTAGTATGCCGGGCCTAGTGGAGGCTGTGACGGGATATCTGTCGCGGGCCCGGGTAGGGAGGAGCAACGATGAGTTTCGTGTAACTTGAAATCACATCCATGAAGTTCGGGAGGGAGACAGGTGTTTTCGAGCTCCGACACAGCGTTATCGTTGAGCTCGTGGTATCTCCCTTCTGGTCCGGATAGCTTATGTGTGACTGATTTGTGTGTGGCTGGTACCGCCTTCGTAGGATCCACTGGCGAAGAGGATTCACTGTGGCCACCACGAAACCATTTCACGGCCGCAAGCCACTCTCCAACTCCAGAACTTTTGACTGGTGACACTCTGGTAGCAAACCTTCTTTGAAGCTTGGACGGCCTAGGCGGTTCCTCGGCGGATGGCGTTCTTCGACTTCTCACCCAAGCCCATTTATCTGCATTCTTTGCTGTTGGAAGCTTGATGGAAAGCTTGGGTCTGATCGCACCCGAGACTTTCTGACCCGTACTCGTGGATGCCTGAGAGTTTCGCGTTACATGTTGGCAAGAATGGCATGGCAGAGTCACTGGATCAGTGGTTGAGTCCGACTCTTCTATAGGAATTGGCCTGGATAGTCCGTTATTGCTGAGCACGCGCGTGGGTCGATCCTGAACCGGAGAGGCATCGGGTGTGGTAGCTGCAGACTCTGCCGCTGTGGAAGTTGTAGCGACAGTGTCTGTTGGCGAGCTCTCGTCCGCCGTGTCGTCTTCAATGTCGGTGGGATGGGCAATGGTCTGCGCAACCAGCTCTTTACTTGTGTCAACCTCCAGCCGCCGGTGGTTCATCATGCTGAGTCGAAGATCCGAGGACAGGTGGCTGATGTTCCCGTGGCTATCCCATCGAGGTTGGGGCATATCGTGCCCCCAAGTAAAGCATATGCCAGACTCTTGCTCATTTAATTGACCCATCGGGGATTCCGGTAGAACAACGAACGCAGGGTCAAGGGTGCATGGACCCAACACTGCGGTCAGTAACTCTGAGTGATGGTCAAAGTACTCTACGACGCTGGATGGGTGCTGATACTTGAAGCCCTGTGAAAGTCTGCGTCTGAAAACCGCTGCTCGTAGATAGTCTCCGGTCATATCATATGTCGTAGCTAGCAGACCCAGACTATTGTTCAGATCCAAGGTACTGATGTCAGTCTGGCTTCTCTTAGACAGTCTTTCATATCCTTTGAGTGCTCGCTTGCATGTGTCGACAGCAATGTCAAAAGAGTATTCTGAAAGATACGCAAGCGCAAGAGCATGTAACAAGTTGCACACCACACTGTCTCTGCCAGACTTTGAAGCAGCAAGATCTGTGACCACAGGTTCTGCCATCTTCCAGTTTCCTTGGAAGAAGTAGCAAATTGCCAACTGGATGTTGAGGCTACGCATTGATATGTAGCTACTCAAGCATGAATCCTCACTCTCCGGGGTGGCTTTTGCGCAATGTGCTAGAGCCTCCTTCAATAGTTCACCTGCTTTAGTGAAATCGCGAGCCTTAAGATTATCGATCGCGAACTGGCGAATACAAACGATGTAGTCTCTGTTGAATGCAGCCTCATAATCATCGTCGTCGTCAGCTCCAATGTAATCGTGGTCACTACCGTGCTCTGAGTCCGGGGGATCACTCTTGACTGGGGACGTGCAACTTTCAGCCGTGGGTGAAGCCGCAGGGCAAGCCACAGGTAATGACGCAGGAGATATCGCAGGTAACTTGCTCCGAGCTAGAGAATCTACTTCTGGAACAGACGGTGAGGGTCTAGGTTGGCCCTCGTTGATGAATCTTTCCACTCTCTCACGCTTGAAGGATGGGAAATTACCCGACAAGCTGATGGCAGCGGACGATGTGGGCTGCCAGGTTTTGTCGCTGCGGTCTCCTCGAGAAGTACCAGCTGTAGAACTCGCTGTCGAGTGAAAGTGCTTGGCAGCTTTCGCCAGAGCTTGCAAGTTTCGAGAAAGTCTTGCGTCGGATTGATGACCCAATGTGTGCGTAAAGACTCCTGAAGGCCTTGCAGAAATCTCCAACGCTCGATCAATGGATAGTCTCAATCTGGAGAGTTCGTCCATAATCAGAGTCTGTGAGGCATTGCTCTTGAGAGTGAGTGAACTGTGATGGGTTAGTGGCCTTGCAATAGTAAGAGTTAGGCCGACAAAGTAAAGGCTATACCAACACAGTGATTGTGTGCAATATCGTCTGCAAGGCCCCGTTTGACTTATGGATCTTCTCTTGGAATGCCACCACTTCATTACCATGAAGAGTGAGATCGAACATGGCTCGGAGTTTCCAACCAAAAGGTCGAGAGCCAGCCGCCTTCTTGACCTTCGCGATGAGCATCTTCAAGTCGTTCAGCGTGGCTTGACAATCAGCGAGAGCTATATTGCTCTGCTGCCACAAATCTTCTTCGACGTGAGCAAGATCGAAGGAGCGACACTCTTTCAAGGTTCTCTCTACCGCCTCCAACAGATCCGTGAGGTTCTTGAGCTCCTCGCAGAGTTTAGTGACTCTAGCATCCACTGTCTTCAAGCCATGGATGAAGCCATGCAAAGACTTTGTGAGCTATTCGAAGTCCATCTTGTCAGCCCACGGGTTATGGACGCTTAGACTGTTGATTCAACTCACGATACCCGATGCCTCGATCAAGGTGATCACTGAGGCTGTGACGGATAGAGGATCCATTTTCACCTTGGGGGCGGGGAGGTAAACGTAAGTTAACTCGATGGACCTAGGACAAGTAGTAGGAAACAAGAACAAGTTTCTGGGAGATTTCGAAATTATCAATGGTCCAGCGGCATGCCGAGACCCCTTCATTGTGCGACTCTGGAAAATAAATTATGCCTACGACTCTGCCTCAGCGCCCCGACAGGGCGAATCACCACGGGAAAAGCAAGAGCCGAAAGAACATGCAGCAGACGATGAGTTGCCTTGCGTGGGACATTGAAGCATCAATCCTTAGTGGATAAAGGACTTGAAATTTTCAGGCAAAAATCTGGGATCTTGAAGCAAGGCAATCAGTTGCCTCATGAGACCCAACCAATGATTTCGAATTCAGGCGCCACACAGGACCAACCGTGGCGCATCCGACTCAAAGGTGCATAAGTATACGGTCAAGCATCGGTGTGACGAAATTCGTAAGCCAAACGAAAGCGGCCCCCGAACAGCGACAGAGGAGCATCCTTCGACCGCAAACTACTGCTGCTGTGGTGTCGCAACGAAGCTGAAAAGGAGGACAAGGGCATCACGACACCCATAAATCTGCGGATGTAATATGCACTGCGCCAGAGCATTGCAGTGGTTGTAATATTTACAGCCCTATAATTCTCCTCACAACTGGTTTGGCTTGGACTGAGCATTACTTTGCGCCGTGTTGATGTCGGTGTAGACCGATGATGCGCCCGGGGCCGCGCAAGCCTCGTTTCGCCTTTCGCCCGGGAGAGAAGACCTCTTGACAATTGATTCATTCACCGAAAATCGACGAAGGACCATCTGTAGCTGGGTTTTGATTCTCTTAGTCCGATCGCTAGTGAGAAGTTTGAAGGTGGCATTACCGATCATGGAAGACAAGACTCCATGCACCGGACTCAATCACTTGATCAAAGCATCGATACTCAGAATTCCATCATTATACGGTTGGCACATAAAGCTGGTAGAAGCGAAAATTGACCATTCTTACAGTAATAGAAGCATCCCGCCATCATGTCACCGGATTCTAGCCCTGCCATCGCCTGTATACATCGAACTGCTGGTGCATACGCTCTTCCTGTCCAGGAGTGAACTCAGTCGTGCTAGATCAACAGTCAGTATCTTCAACTCCAATCGGAAAGGCTCAATCACCGCAAGTTCACTCACCAAGTGTCATCCGAGTAATCCATAAAGTTGTGAATGGGATCCAAACCAGGCGAATCAGGACAAGAGTCCCTTCCGACAGGACACCCCGAGCTCCCACCAGCTTGCGCAGGCGTATCGGCAACCTGATCATTAATCCCCTCACAGAAACGCCCATGGAACGTGTGAAGCAGACCAAACCAGTGCCCGACCTCATGAACTGCAACATGCCCCTTCCGCGGTGTCGTATCGTTGCCGCTGCGGGGTGTCATGCCAGGCATGGAGTCGCCGTTGACCCAGCACCCATCAGTATAGAACTGCTGGCTGCCCTCCTGCACGACACCCGCGAGCGCGCACTGCCCGCCGAGGCTGACGCCCAGATCGGAGAAGAAGTAGACGTTAAGCGCATCGTAGCCCCCACGGCGTGTGGCGGTGCGCCAGGCGACGTAGCCTTCAAAGTCGGGGATGCCGATTCCGGATTCCTCGTAGAAGCCCTTGCCGAGGACGTCATCTACGATACGCGAAACGTTGACGAGGTTCAGCTCGAAGCCGTGCTTGAGATAGGTTGAGTGCAGGACCTCAAACTATTGGGATTCGGTCAGTATTTGCTTCTGGCGAGAGCGTCAGCAGGTCTTACCTGGGCGTCGACAACTGCGTCGGTGATTCTGTCCTTGTTGGCCACGGTGCTGGTGACGTGAAAGTACACGTCGACCGGCTTGGACTCTTGACGCTTGACGTAGGCTGGGAGCGCAATGGTCGGCGTCTCAATAGCGGCCAAGTCATCGTTGAAGCATCGGAGCGACCCGAGAACCGACGATGCTCCAAAGGAAAGCAGCAGCGCTGCGGCGGCACGCGGCATCATCGTATCGAAAGTCGGTGGAAATTGGCGATGCGGATCGTGTGAAGGAGCGACACCCTAAGAAGATCTCCACGATTCTCCAGGCCCGTCATCGCTACCTACCTTATCTACTTATACATTGAGTATTCCCAGAAAAGAGGGAAATGACGGCAACGGGCCAAGACAAGATGTCCAACACTGGAGGAGTCCATCGTGAACACGAGGCCTTGGAAGCTTGGCGGACAAGCTTAAATCGCGAGAAAGGTCGACCACTCCACCGCCAGGGCAACGTTCGGATCCCCAGGACAGCAAGGATCTCCAGTGAACTGCCGAAATGAGCAACGTCGCCCGAGTCAACGCGCATGAGAACCGCATCAACTCTCGTATTGAGTCTCGTGCGTGCAATTGGGGATGGCGACGGTCAGTCGAGGGACAGACAAGAAGGGAAACGGCAATTGATGGTGTAATTTTCAATCATGCGTTCCAATGATCAAAAGCACTGTCGAGCGCTGCAACCATGGTAATCCTGTCACCGCGGAAACTCAATTGAAGTCTAAATTTGGCCTCTTACTAAATCTTTCCGAGCTTCCTCTTTTGATCGCGTTTTCACCGTGCCGCTCTCGCCTGTTGCATACAGGTAGCCAATGTCGGAGGAGATGGAGATCACTGGGGTTTGAGGTCCGGAACGGATCCGGACACGAACCGATGAAGCCGTGCAATGGCACCGGATATTCATAGCGCTGTGATAGTCTGAATCGGGTGTCTGGCCAAACGAGGACTTCTTATGGTCAAGGATTCACAGCGAGAGAGGTTCATGGCACCTCTCAGGCCTTCGACGACTGTCATTTCACCCCACCCGAAGCCATGACACGAATCTTTGGCCCAGCGTCAACGCTTGAGGGCAATTGTCATCACTGGATAGTTCAAGACGTCACACCAACTAGCATCGGCTTTAAAACTCTTTTCACAGGTACTGACTTCAGATGCCAATGAATATAGGTCAGATAACAAATGTTTCTATGAGCAGTCCATGCCAGGACACATGCCCTTATTCAATATAGATGTGCGAGCGATATAGACAGGTGAAGAGAAGGCGATTATACATGAGTCTACTTAGGTATATACACTAAAGCCGGCCCCTTAACTCCGTGCTTGCTACGTCCGTCATCATCAACTAAGATTAAGCTGTATTTACTTCTTGCACAGGCGATCGGTCTGCTTGGTGAGCCAATCCTCCTGGCGGGCAATGTACCAGTCCTCACTGCCGACGGCGGTGGGGGCGTAGAAAACACCCCAGGGGTCAATCTTCTTCTTGAGAGCGTACAGCTTAGCGTAGTTGGAGCCGAAGAAGGCCTGGCCGAAGTCGGGCTCCATGACGTCGCCCTCGTTGCCGTAGCCACCACCGCCGGGGGTGATGTTGCGAAGACGGCCCATCCAGTCCTGGGTGATGCGGACGTTGGCGGTCTTAATCTCCTCCTGGGTAGCGGTAGCGCTCCAGCCGCCACCAATGATGGCAAACATGAGAGCCTCACGCCAGGCCGGGTTGGCAGAGCTGGCGGTGACGTCGGAGGGAGCAGCGGCGTTGATGTTGTACTGGATCAGCGCGGAGCCCTCGGTGATAATTCCCTTGAGGGTAGCGATAGTCTCGTTAAGGAGGGCGGGGTCCTCCCAGTTGGCCTTGGGAATGAGACGGTTAGCGGTACGGACGGTGTCGGTGCCGACGCTCTCCATGGGGAAGTGGTTCTTCCAGGTGGCGTAAAAGTTGTCGTGCTCAAAGTACTCGGGCTCGACGCTGAAGCCGAGGGCAGCCCACTCGGTGAAGAGAGGCTCAACCATGGCCTTGAAGTCGGTCAGGTTCATGCCGGGGACCAACCAGGGGCGCATGCTCCAGAGGTAGGCACCGTTACCGGCGGGGAAGAGAGTCGAGTATCCGTAGGTCTTCTTGGCAGAGAAGTCGGGGAAGCGGCGCCAGTAAGCCTCCATGGCGGCCCAGAAGACGGTGGAAGAGATGTTCTTCTCGGCAGTGTTGAGGCTCCAGGTAAGACCGGCAAACTGGGTCTTGGGGTAGACTCGGACGGTCATGGAGGTGACGACACCCCAGGTGGCACCACCGCCACCGCGGACAGCCCAGAAGAGCTCGCTATTGGTCTTGTCATCAGCAGTGATGTGGCGACCGTCGGGGGTGACAATGTCGACGCTGAGGACCTGGTCGGAACCAAGACCGGCGACGGGGCTCATGGGGGAGTGACCACCACCGGCAATGTAGCCACCGGTGACACCGACACTGCGGCACTCGCCGCCAACGGCGGTGTAGCCCTCCTTGTTGGCAGCCTCGTACAGCTCAGAGACCTGGACGCCGGCACCGAGCTTGAAGGCAGGACCCTCGTAGCCACCAGCAGACTTGTAGTTCTTGATGAACTTGAGACCCTTCAGGTTGTGGGTCCAGATGGACAGAGAACCGGCACCGGTGTTCTTGCCCAAGAAATCGTGACCAGTGTTGCGGACAACGAGACGCAGGTTAAGGGTGCGAGCAAAGTTGACGGCAAGCTGGATCTGGGCCACGTTGGTAGCCTTGACGGAGTAGAGGGGGAAGCCACCAATCTCGCAAGTGCGGTTGTTGGCGGCGTTCTGGGGCTGGCAAGTAGAGCCCTGGTAGAGAGGGGACATGACTGAAGTAGGATCCTCATCGCTTTGGGATGTTAGTCTGAGGTGCTGGTACCAGTCAAGGCAAGGTAACTTACTGAGTGTCGGAGTTGGTCCAATTGTCGAGGAGGTACTGGCACTTCTCGGCATCGTAGTGCTCACCAGCGTAGCAAGCAGCTCCGAGGGGAACCGTCTTGATGAGGGAGTTGCCAGTCAAGAGGTTGAAGACCTTCCACACGGGCTCGGAAGGGTAGAAGAAGTCGCCGGGGAAGAGCTTGCACTTGTTGTTGGGCTCAGTGCGCTTCTCGATATTTGTCGCGTCAGCGAAGGTAAAGAGCGAAATGTTGCTGAGCTCGAGCTGGGTGAGGTTGGCCAGCACGGCATCAGTCAACTGGATGGTCTCCTCGGGGATGTCTGCCTCGGGGAACTCCTCGGCGGCGGGGGCAACAGTGGCCTCGTTGGCATCTGGGAAACGTGGTCAGTATGGATGTTGATGAGATCGGCA